TGCACCGGTTATTTGCAAGTTTTAGATAAAGCTTAGGGACTAGAAAGGGTGCATTATCATGCTAACGCAGTATTAGCTCAGTTAACTATTTATTGATTGAACAAAAAAATTATTTTTTTCGCTTTTATGAGTTAACTGAGTATGTAGTAAAATACCACAAAAATTCTAATTAAGGGTAGTTGACCTATATACTGGTATAATTATACTCATACTAACAAGTATTTTATTCAATAAGTATAAATTTGGTGCATTACTATGTAGAACATTAAGAGTGAACTCACCTGCAACCGACATCCATGCATTTACTGCTCCAATTAAGTTATTCATTTACGTTTAAGCTATTTTTAGATACACCAGTTTATATGTATGGTATTTATGTGCATATGTATGTATGCGTGGTGTTTATTCTCCTTATCCTTATTATCTTGATATTATGTTATATTCACACTCACATAAATGCTTCACACGTACGTTAATTTGTATGTGTATGTAAGTATGTATGTATTTATATGCATATATGTATGTACAATGGAAGCTACAATTCACTTAAGCGTGCAACTAATGCGACTATGCACTAATTACAGCTATATTTCACCTAATTAAATATTTTAATTTTATGCTGCACTAAAGTAATTTTTATAATTTCGTATGGAATAGAATTGCAAAAATTATGAATAAAGAATGTGAAAGTATATTAAAGAGAAAACGCGAAATACTTTTTAATGGTTTAATAAAGTTTTTGAACGAATAGTTTGGCAGTTTCGAAACAGTTGTTAATTTTGCTTTTTGTTTATTTGATACTGCATGATTTTATATGGAATTGAACTCTAAAAATTATGAATAAAGAAAAGTAATGGAAATTGAAGTGAAAAATCGTAAAAATATGGAAGAGAATTAATACAAATTTTGACGGAATATTTTTGCAATTTCGAAATTTTAATTTTTTGTTTTTGTTATTTTATGGCCTTATAACAATTATATTCAATAATTTTTATTGAGCTTAAGGCCGTTTTTAATGAAAAACTAATTGGTTTTCAAATTATTGTTGCTTTTCCACAATAAGTTTTTCATTAAAAACGGCCTCAAGCTCCATAAAAGTTGTTGAATATTTTTATTTTTTTGTTTTCATTTAGACCAAATTCAAAATTTATTTTTCCTTGCTAGTTGATAATTTTATTTGATGACTTTGCAATTCGCAGCTGGAAAATTTCATTAGTAAACAGAATGCAATGCCTCAGTGAGACTGAACTTTATTGCTTTGCTTGTTTTTGCAATGCTCACGTTTTGGATGAATTGTTGTTGTTTCTTTATTTTATTTACTTCTGTAGCGTCAACGCTGCTTCAACAGTCTCACTAGTTGTTGTTGCTGCTGCTGTCAAAGCTATTGCAACAATGAAAGAGAGCAAGAGCAGCTACATATAAAATTTTCCAGTTCAATGACAGTTGGCATAAATGAGATACAGAATAATAAGATAAAATAAAAAATATTTTACAAAAATAAAGCGATAAATCTTTAAGGTAGCCGCGAGTAAACAAATTTTTCCTGCATTTTCTTCAAAAGCTTTTGCCCTTGCCGTGGCGGTTTATTTATATAGTACACATATTCTTGCTGCAGTTGCTTAAAATACTACAGCTCATTTTATATTTCCCAATATGCAAATGTATATATAAATATTTTTTTTTTTACAATTTTAAATGCTAATTTTTCTGCCTCTCAAAAATTCTACACATATTTTTAGTTAAAGCACCGTTTGAACGTTTGAAAAATTCCACATCCGTCGACACGTCCACTTCGCCCTGTGACTCGAACTTGAATGATTGAGCGTCGTACGGTGGCCACAGTCTGGTCATTGTATGGCATACTATATGCATACTTATGTGCGTTGTGGCTGCAATGAAAAATTCTACTTCCTTCTTGAACGGCGAGAAAAACCGACATGCCATCACATTGCACGCCGTAAGTGTGTGTGTGCGTTTGTGTGCTCCATTCGCGCGATTGCGAGTGTATCCATAAAGTTTATATTCCACTCACACGCATCACCCTCTGCTCTTGCTGACCTCTTACCCAAAAAAGCTTCTTTGAATTTTACTTGCACTCTCCAGTCAGTAGACGGAGAAGAGCTGCTACCTCCAATTTCCAGTAACACTCACTCATTTAGTTAGTTACTTTGCTCACAAATACATGCGTGGGCCGTCGAAAGCTTTGCCGCTTTTCCGCCTTGCCGCTAATACAAATCCGTCTTTTATATATTTTTTTCTATGAGCGCTATTTGTGCAGCATGTTGTTAGTCACAGCTGATTTGGGCTGCTAGTGTTTTTGTTATTGCTATTTTTTATTTATTTTTGTTTGATATATGTAATTTCTCAATCGAAGAGCGCAAAAGTTAGAAGCATGAACGGATACGTGGGAGTATTACATTGGGGTATAGAACATGTCTCAAAATGATTCCACGCGCATTGATGACGTTGGTCTACAGTAGTGTACACAAAATAAGGACGCCGTTGGAAAAATATTAGGGAAATTAGCTTTTGTAAGCAGCTACCACCGCCCGTTTGAATTTCGGTTTAACGTTATTGTTTCAAATGTAACAAAAAAAAAAAAATGAAATAAATTATATCACTGAAAATAAAAAAAATTTATCTAAAGAAGTTGCTTAACATAAAGCTAATACCTACTATAATGACAAATGTGGGGATAAATACGTATATGAATATAAAAAAACGATAGAGAAAAATATAGAGATTGAGAAAGTGGTATAGATAAAGAAAGAGACAGAAAAAAAAAATTTAAGAATGAGATATGTTATGTTGTCTAGTGTTATGTTATCTTATCTTATGTTTCGATAAGTTATGTTATGTTACGTTATGTTACATAATGTTATGTTAAGTTATTCAACTCATTTCCCCGCAACTCACCACAGCTCACTTCAAATTACTCCAACTGCCATCATCTCATCCAAACTAACCTCACATCAACTCCTGTCAGTTCACCTC